AGGCAGAACCTAAGGTGGGGGCTGAGGAGGGGTTTTAAGGGCAACAGCTGTTTGGTGTAAGGTGTGAGAAAGGAGTTCAATTTTTTAATGACCGCTTTGGCAGTATAGTGCATATGGCTGGCTATCAGTCCAGATACAGGGATTATGTATTTTTGTCTGCTAAAAGCATCTTCTCCTGCTGAAAAAGGCCTCTCCCCCCCCCATTTAAGCAATCCTATCCTATATAATCAACTATCTATAATACTAATAAAAGGGTAACATGTAATTAGACTGGGTTGACTGACTTCCTTCCGGACAAAGCCATGGTGGTGGGGGCCGAGGCAGAGGCAGTTAGGGGCGATCAGGCTGGCAGGGGAGGGCAGTTGGGGGCGAGATCAGGCCAGCAGGGGAGGGCAGTTAGAGGTGATCAGGCAGGAAGGTAGAGGCAGTTAGGGGGCGATCAGGCAGGCAGGCAGAGAGGTTAGGGGCGATCAGGCAGGCAGAAGGGGTTAGGGGCAATAAGGCAGGCAGGCAGAGGCAGTTAGGGGCTATCAGGCAGGCAGGCAGGTGAGCGGTTAAGAGCCAGTGGTCCCAGATTGCGAGAGGGCACAGGCTGGGCTGAGGGAACCTCCCCCTCCTCCATGCATGAATTTTATGCACCGGGCCACTAGTAAATAATAATTTAATTAGTCACCTGTATTTTTTTTGCCTAGAAAATCTCCACCTGATTCTCATTGTTGGTCACTTTTGTGGGACCTCCAGTTAAAGACAGAACTTAAGTAAAGGCAAAACTGATGCTGATGGTGACTAAGAAAACCCAACACCTTTTTCTTTTCTAAAGAAACTCTGCTTCCTGATTTAAATAAACTATGTGTTCATAAGAAGCTGCCTATTTCTGTTAAACATCTGTTTAGCTAATCCTTTCTTTGTTATTTTATCATCTATCCAGTTCTTGTTCCTGTTAAGTTATCCTGCTCATAACAACTTTGTTTTCTAAGTTGACCAAGTACTTGTGAAACAGAATGATGTTTCGCAAGACACAAAACACCCCACTCAACTCAACGCCACTGATAGGGTTGACTATAGCAGTGCGGAAGGCAGGAGCCCCTGTGGTCCCATCTCTCACCTTCTCCCCCATCACCTCAGTCTCAGTCTCTGTCTGACTGCCTCTCCACTTTCCCTTCCCCTCCCCCTGATCTCTCATACTGACAGGAGGCTAGGCCCTGAGTGTCAAGGGCTCTTTCCCCTTTAGCCTGACACAGCCTCAATCTTCCCTCCCTCATGCTCCAGGGGCTACTCCAGGTTTCCAGTCCTGGTATAAGTGTTGGCATTTCATTTACTCAGACTGACAACACCAAGCTCATGCCAGTTTTTTGGAGCAAAAGGTATTGAATAGTTATCTCAACTCTGGGGAACAGAAAATCCTCCTGAATTATAGAAGGTCAAAAAGAAATTTATGTATTATTGATGTAATTTAAAAATTAAGTAAAATGACATCATATACACAAAATTACATGTCTTTTTGAGTTCATAGATCCACTATTTTATGAGCTTCAAGTTAAATTCTTACTCAGTAGATCTAACTGCTGTTTAATTTCAGGCTGGTTAAGCAACAACACTCAAAATCCTTACAGTTAAGCATCATTCAGGAGCTGATGGCAGGGATACTTCCTTCCTGATGCCAGGGCTGTCGAGCCCCTGCCCGCTTCTGTTTCTATAATATGGTCATGTTTATCACAGGCTTTCTCATTTCTGCTTCTAAGATGGGTATCGCTGCCCTTGTTTGTGTTGCTGAGGGCAGAGCTTCTGTGAAAGCACTACCTGGCAGGAGTGCTGTGCTGATCCCTACTGCTGCTGGTGGGATTTGTATGGTCAAGTCTGCAGTGAATTTCATTTCCAGGAGAGAGATCTGATGTCTTCATGTTGCATGGTGTTTATTATACGACATTTACATAGTTGTGTAATATGGTTCTGACAGTGGACCATCCTTTTTGGAGTCATATATTTTCTTCAAATTAATTATCAAGAGATCCTGCTCTTGTCCCATGTAGGGGTGTGGCACCTGGCAGGTCCACCATGGGTCCAATGAGAGCATGTGAATGCCTGGTACGTTACAGACATTGTGGGCGGTAGGGCAGCAGTGTCCATTGCTTCCCAAACATGGGAAAGAAGGATCTGGAAAGATGACCAACTTGCAGACCGGGGTGAACTGGAAGTGTAGTCGGAAGCCGCATTTCAAGGGATGGCCACGTCTGTGAGCAGGTTCGAGGCAGCATCGGGCCCTGGGTGGGTTCATGTGTTTCCTGTTCTCGTCCCTCAGTTTTCGGCC